CGTGCCTGCCTTTGGCCCAGGGCGTCATCCTGGAGTCCCAGGATCGAGTTCCGCGTTAGGCTCCCAGCATGGAGCCTGTTTCTCCCTCTGCCTGTGTCTCTGCCTCTCTCTCTCTCTCTATCATAAATAAATAAAAATAAATCTTTAAATAAATAAATAAATATTTATTTATTTATTTTAAAGAAAGGACAGAAATGTAGCAAGGATAATGCATCACGTTTAAGATAGAAAAACAGTATACCATTCCCAAGTTCCATTAAAAAATAGTTTTAGGGTTTTCCTCATTTGCCAGATAGGAGTAATAGTATCTATCAACTTCATATAGCAATTAAGAGAATCAGATAATATATAAATATAAATATCTTTGTACTTTTATAAGAGAAGTCCTCTGTTGATAGAAGGTACTATTTGTAGAGCATTCCAAAGATATCATTTTCACTTAAGTAATCTCTTAGAAATACTTCTTCTGTTCTTTTAAAATACAGTAACTAGGGATCCCTGAGTGGCGCAGCGATTTGGCGCCTGCCTTTGGCCCAGGGCGCGATCCTGGAGACCCAGGATCGAATCCCACATCGGGCTCCCTGCGCATGGAGCCTGCTTCTCCCTCTATGTCTCTGCGCCTCTCTCTCTCTCTCTCTCTCTCTCTCTCTCACTATCATAAATAAATAAAAATTTAAAAAAAAATAAAATACAGTAACTAAAACCCATAAAGTAAACAAGGAGAAACTCTGAGTTAGGCCAGCAACAAATCGATAAATTGATAATTGGTCCTAAAGCAGAGCTGCCCATTCTTTCCATGACCCCTCTGATGGGCAATTGTCATTAAATCAAAACGTTGTTTCTCCTAATGTTAAATCTTCCTGAAAGATTCCAGAATCTGCCTAGAACAGGATACTCAATTCCAGAGACTCCCACCAAAGATTTATTAAATTTCAAGCCCAAATATACAATCCTGCTTACCTCCTTTTTTGAGTTATTAATAAAACAAACAAGATTGGGGATCCCTGGGTGGCTCAGTGGTTTGGCACCTGCCTGGAGCCTGCTTCTCCCTCTGCCTGTGTCGCTGCCTCTCTCTCTCTCTCTCTCTCTCTCTCTCATGAGTAAATAAATAAAATATTAAAAACAAACAAACAAGATTGCAACCAGCTCTAACAACTCATATAACAACATGGTTCAAATCATACGGTTCCTCTAAATCAGACCTGTCCAATGTGGTAGCACAAGCCACATGTGGCTACTGAACACTTGAAATTTGGCTAATTTGAACTGATGTGCCCTCTAAGTGTAACACACACACAATTTTCAAAATTTCATACAAAAAAGAATGCAAAATATCTCAATATTTTATATTGATTACATGTCAAAATGATAATATTTTTAATACACTGGGTTAAATAACTAAATATACCTAATATATACCTAAGTACGCCTAGATAAGGTATACTACAATGAGTTTAATCTGTTTATTTTTAGGTTTTCTAAATGTGCTAATAGAAAACTTTAAATTTTGGGCAGCTGGGTGGCTCAGCAGTTTAGCACTGCCTCCAGCCCAGGGCCTGATCCTGGAGTCCCGGGATCGAGTCCCACGTCAGGTTCCCTGCATGGAGCCTGCTTCTCCCTCTGCCTGTGTCTCTGCCTCTCTCTCTCTCTCTCTCTCTCTCCCATGAATAAATAAAATCTTTAAATAACTAAATAAATAAATTTTACATATGGCTTGCATTGTATTTCTACTAGACAGCAGGGATCTAAATAAAGATAGAACTTTTTATAATGCTATTTTTCTCAGACAGAGTTTTCAAAAGAGTTTTAAGAATTGGGGTGAAGACTGCTTAAATGTTTTCTGGCCAAATTACCTGTCTTTGTTAACAATTAAAATCTACATTGAATCTTTACAATCAACTGAGTTTTAGAGTGGTCATATGATGTTTGGCCCCCACGAAGTCACAGAATATTTAACTGGTTTTCCCTGAGCTTTAATAATATGTAAACCTGCAGTTCTAAAACTTTTCTGGGCTTTGTACTGTTGAGGCAGAGAAATGAACTTAATAGATCTCCAACATGACTTTCCAGGATGCTCCAACACAAAAGCTACATTCAATTAACCAAAAGTGATACTGCTATGAATTGAATTGTTGTTCTCCCAAATTCATATGTTCAAGCCCTAGCCCCCAATATGATATGTGGAGGTGGGGGATTTGGGAGGTAATTAGGTTTAGATGAGGTCATGAGGATGGGGTGCTGATTGATGGGATTAGTGTCCTCATAAGAAGAAAAGATCAAAACTCTTTCTCTCCCTGATGTGAGGACACTGTGAGAAGGCAGCCATCTACAAGCCAGAAAGAGAACTGACCCTGCCAGACCTTCATCTGGGATTTGTTGAATTCACAACTGTGAGAAAATAAATTTTGATTATTTAAACCACCCAGTCTACTTTACCGTATTTAGTTAGGGCAGCTCAAGTAACTAACACAGAGATCTACTGCTTAAAGCAATCTCTCTTTTATTAAACATGATAATCTTCACTTAAGGCTATTTATGAATAGGTACATTTTGTTATATAAAGACATGATGATAAAAATAAATAAATAAAGACATGATGATTTGCACAATGTGAAGAATTTAAACATAAGTATTTGTTGACTTTCTCTATGTGTTAATAGGACAGGTCTGACCTACAGCTTCTGTAGACCAACTCACTCGTGGATCATCTTTGTTGAGCCAGAAAAAAAGGATCAAGGAAGATGAATATTATTTAAAAACATTGTTACTTCAAAATATTTCATTCTTAATTATATATAAAATATTTTCTTCAGCACATAGAATTCATATTTCTACCCTAACTGAAAATGCAAAGTTGTTCATCTCTCCCCTAGGGATTTGCTTATTGGTGTGGCACTTTCAATGATTTCACCATAGTTTAGGCATAATAAAATCTCATTTTATGCTCCAAGGCAGGAACGATCCTAAATGCTCCTCAACCAGTATAGTACACAACCCTGTGGCTTTTGGAACAACATTTAAATAGACATCCCAAAGAAGAAAGGGTCCCAGCCTAGGGAACGAAATAGTATGCTTGTTTCTTTAGAAACTTCAAAACATCATCAGATGTTTACTGCTTGGTTTTAAAGAAAGAAAGAGAAAGAGGGGCCAATAGAGTAGTAGATTTAATAGTAGTAGTAACAGAAGATTCAATCCCTTTTTATCACTTTAATCTTTTTTTTTTTTTGCCACCTTTTAGAGCTCCAAAGGGTCTAAGTTACTCCAAACAAAACAAAACAAAAAACAAAAACAGAACCATACAAAATTTTGTTTGTCCTTCACATATTTTCTGGGAAAAGGACCCTGAGCTTTGAACATAATCTCCAAGGAGGCAATGACCAAAAAAAGTTAAGAATCTTTTGGTTAAGGATTTGCTTAAGTAAAGTGAATGGACATTTGTCCTTGCACCTGGCCAGGTAGGACCAGCTTCCTCATTCGCTGCACACCACCTAAGACCTCAGTATGTGTATATATATATATGCCAGGCCCTGCTTCAGTGATTGGATTACTTGCTTGTTCCTTGCTTTTTGTTTCCTGGGTGTGTGTGTGTACCCTAGCTGCTTCCAACTTCCCTCTTCCCCAGAGCTGTCCTGTTCTGTGTATCCCCCATTAGACAGAGGGGCTGTCTCCTCCTCCTAGTGAGATCCGGGGTGAAACGCATCCCATTTATCAACATACCCCTCTCCCTTCTTCCTGGCTGCTCTTCTGGGGCCAACCCGAGTTTGCCAACCGTGTGGAATGGGTTGTCCCATCTCTTTTACTCTCTTTGTATTTAGGTCTAGGGACGACGGGCTTCGGTGAGGTACTTTGAAACCTATCACATTACAGTCCTGCGCTGCCATTCCCAGGCCCTGTAAAAATGCTCTTCCCTTCCCACCCTGAAGATGTTGTGAGCCGGGAATGGCGTGCTCCCAGCTCCCCAGAGCAGAATATCATATAAAAGTAATAAAAGCATTCTGTCGCTGTCAATTATTTTGGCTCTCGCACACCAGCGGCGGAGTCCCCCCTTGCACCTGCCCGGGCCATTTCTTCCCCAAGAGTCCGCAGCAGAGCCACCGAGCACCCACTGACTGACGCCGCGTCGCTCACTCCTTCCACCCTCTCCACGCCCCCCCGCCCCCCCGCCCCCCATTCCAAGTTGTCTCCTTGAAGAGAACTCCGGATCTGTCGACAACCCCTTTTGTATTGAGGTAAAGAAGACTCGAAGCTCACTCTCCTCACCAGTAAATTCTCCAATCTCTCCGTTCCCTGGCAGAGCGCGGAGAGGGGTAAGTTGTGTGCGTGCGTGTGCGTGTGTGCATGTGCGTGTGTGCATGTGCGTGTTCCCTAAAAACTTGCATAAAGCCCGCTGAGCGCGGCCCCTCCGACATCCCGGATCTCCAGGCAAGGAGTGCGCTGGCCGAGGGTCCCCCGACACCCGGCACGACGCCTCCCTAAGCCCGGCCCCGGGGAGCGGCGGCGAGAGGCAGGCGAGCTCGGGGTCGGGAGCCGGCCCCCCCTCCCCCCAGCAGCAGCAGCAGCAGCGGCGGCGGCGGAGGCGCCCGGGTCACCCCCACCGCCCGCCGCCCCGGCCCGACCCCCGCAGTCCCCGCGCGGAGGCCGGCCCGGCCGAGGGCGCTGCGCCGCGGCCTCCGGCTCCTCCGCGGGGCGCCGCGCGGCCAGGCCGGTGGGTGGCGGCGGCCCGGGCCCCCGGGGATGGCGGCGGCCGCGCTCCGCCAGCAGGTGGCCCCGGGGTCCCGGCGGCGCCGCCTCCTCCTCGGCGCCCCTCCTCCCGCGGGGGCGGTCAGCGCCCCGACCCGGCTCGCACCCCGCCGCCGCCGCCGCCGCCGCCGCCGCCGCCGCCGCCGCCGCCGCCGCCGCCGCCGCCGCCGCCCTCGGCCCGCCCGCCGCGTCCCCGGGGCCGCGCTCGCCGCCGCCGCCGCCGCCGCCGCGTCCAGAGCAGCGCCCAGGCCGGCCCGCCCGCAGCACCCGGCCCGCCGCGCCGCGCCGCGCCCTCCCCGCCCCCAACTCGCTCCCCCGCGGAAAGTTCGGCTCGGGCGGCGGCGGCCCGGGGACCCGGCAAGCGAAGGGGCCGGGGGGCGTGCTGACGGGACCGGGCGGCGGCGGCGGCGGCGGCGGCGCGGCGCGGCGGGGGCAACTTCTGCCGCCGGCGCCGCGAGCCGCAGCCCCCGGGCGCGCTCGAGGTGGTTCTGCCCTCGCCCTCGCCTCCCCCTGCGGATCCAGGGCACGGACCTTGGTCCTGGCGCTCCCGCTGCCGGGTGACAAGAGCCGCCGCCGCCGCCGCCTCAGCCGCCGCCTCAGCCGCCGCCTCAGCCGCCTCACCGCCCCCCGGCCGCAGCCCCTGCCTCCCGCCGCCCGCCTCCCGCCTCCCGCCAGCACCATGGAGTTCTCCGAGAGGAAGAGGAGCAGGAAATCGCAGAGCTTCAAACTGGTGAGCCGAGGTAAGCGGCGGGCCGCCGGGCCGGGCGGGGGGCGTGCGGGCGGCGCGCGGGGAGGACTGGGCGCCGCGTAAACACCCCCGCGGCCCGCGCCCCGCGCCCCGCGCCCCGCGCCCCGCGCCCGCGGGGGGGCCGCGGTGTGGGGACGACGGGGGCGCTTCCGGGACCCCCGGGTCCCCTCCCGCGGGGGCGGCGCGGGGGGGCGCACACGCCGCGCGGCGGGGAAAGTTGTGCAGGGGGGTGGGGGGGAGGCAGGATGTTATTCAGCGTAAACAAGTCGGAGGGCACCTCAGGAAATTAGCGAACAATGACACTTGGGGAGCCGAGAGCCTTCTTTGGTATTCCAGTCCCGCGGCCGGGGTGTGGGGGGTGCGGGTGGGGGCGGGGGGCGCGCGCTGCCTCTCCCGCAGGCCGTGCACACTCGGTCCCGACCTCGGCTTGGGGGCTGGCCTCCCCCCCGTCCTCCTCACACACACACACACACACACACACCCTCCTCACGAAAACAGAAGCAAAAGCAAAAAAAAAAAAAAAAAAAAAAAAAGGTGGTGGTTCTTTCAAGCACCAGAAAGCAGCTCATTAGGTGAAGGTGTACGAGCCCAGACGAGAGCGGTTGACCTCTGGCATCTTCGCTATAGATACGTTCCGGGGGGTGGGGGGTGGGGGGGTGGGTGGGAAGGTGTTTCGGAAGGGATCGCTTGTCGGTCACAAAAGTATCCCGATTAAAAAAAAAAAAAAAAGAAAGAAAGAAAGATTCCAGCCGGTTCCTGACGACTTAACAGGTGTATGCCGCCCGCCGTCTTCGGGCTTGGGTCTCTCACAGGGAGGGCCGGGGAAAGCTGAATCTCGCCCTGTCCTGTGTTCAGTTACTTGTCAGGTCTCTCTTTTCCTGATTGGACTTTGTCAAAGACGATGAGAACTTGAGATAAGAGCAGACATTAAAATAGGGCTATTAAAATGGCTTTGTGTTACCCTAAATTACAGGCAGGTGACTTTCTCCCCCCCCCCCCCATCCTCATGTCACAAGTCCTGATACCGAGTTTTGGAACCGCCTTGTTTAAATATCTTCTTTGAATCAACTTGAGGTCAGAACCAAACCCCAGAATTTGTCCCCTTTCCATCTGTGGTTCTATCTAGCACTGGCCTCAGAGTAGAGGGAGAGCAGGAACCTGGAGAAGCCCCCTGCGAGCTGATGAAAATTGGAGGGTGATTTCCAAGTAATAGGGCTTTTCAGGCTAAGCTGAGCTAACTGTGATGTAGATTCAGTAAAGTCTGCTCTTGGCTGGTCTGAAGGTGGTTGTATAGACATTTATTTCCAAGATCGGCTCAGATCTGTTTCCCCTGTTTTAGTTTGGATACTGTTTAATGAAAGAGGCCTGAAATAGTTTTTACAAATTCAAAATATTTGGCTCTTCCTTCTCTTTGTGTGTGGATTGCTCAGTCATTTGTACTTTTAAAAATCTCTCCGTATGTGACTGGCCGGTGGGTCTATTGATTCATTCAGGAATGTAGGCTGCTTTCTTATTTATGACCTCTCAGACAACTTACTACTTTATCTGAAAAGTGAGAAGTTTTGTAGACCTTGACCTGTTAGGTCTCAAGCCACAAAAAGGGGAATAGCTGTTAAGAAGGAACCTCTATTTTCTTCCTAGACGATCCTACCTTTTAGAAATAGACCATTGGCAAGCCCAGTAGCCTCCGTAGAGAAGAAAAACGCTTGTAAAGTACTGCATTTTAAAGTTTGACTGACATAGCAAGTTTTTCATTTTCCTCTTTTTTTTTTTCTTTGAATTATGGGTCTGATTCTTCTCTCTGCTCTGCAGGTGCATTTTTAGCAAATAAACTATTGCATATTAAAGTGCAGTAGCTGAATGCAAAAAGACTGTGTGAATGATGAGAATCTTGCTTTCTTATCTAGACTATACTATATTTGAAATAACCAATCAGTAATTTTCATGTGTGCTTTCCTGTAAGCTGCTTAAAGGCTGGAATTTTTCTGGGTAAACTGAGAAAACTGAGCATCAGGTTACCCGAAAGCATGCTATTGATAGACTGTACTCATGGAAGTGGGTTGTGGAGATAATTTTGGAATCGTCCCCTGGCCTATGATTGGGCAAGGTTTTTCTTTCCCTTATAAACATACTTGTCATTTGAAAGCAAAGAGGCCTAGTAATTGGCATCTCTGGGCCAAATTTACTGTGAAAACCATGTGATCAGCAAGGCTGTTTTCTAAAGTCAAAGTAATATTTCAAGTTTGTATACTTCCTCAGAGTAAGCAAAGTTTTAGAGATTATTAGTGACTACAAATTCAGTGATTAACCGAGTTCTTGGAAATTTATAGTTTAAAGTATAGATTATACATCTTATATGTAATGAGAGTCTAGTCTTGTTTTTTCATATCTTGCAGCTCATTAGAATTTTAATTTTTGGTTGTTTTCTCATCCCAGATTATCACCATGAGGTATATAAGATCTCAGAATTCAGCAACGATGTTAATGGGGAGGCCAAAGAGACACAACCCATTTATTTAGGTAGGTTCCTATGTCAATTAATTTCTCAGCAAAACAGTGTGGCCGTTTGCAATTAGGGGGAAGGGAAAGAGGAAAAAAAAAAAAGATTGTGCCAGAACGGGAAATGTCTGCCATTGCTTAATGTATGACATTCTTTTCAAGACCTTTTATTTTACAGATTGCCAATATATCCCCTATTAACATTGCTAAAAGTTGTAATTTCAGACATAAATGTTTATTAGTGTCTACACACAGTGCTAATTATCACTCACTCCCAGAGCCAGATGCTGACTGTGCAGGTTTGTCGCTCTGTGCTCACCCCATTTACATTGCATATTCGCTGGCATGCTTCACTGGCAATAGTTTGTGTAATTGGGGTATTACATCTTTGACATCTGGATAACAGAAATTCAATTTCCAGGAAGCTGCTATTTGTTTGGTTTTGCTTCTGCCTTGGGTGGGATAGAGGATTAATATGCTGTCTTATTATAATGTCCCTTCACCTCTGTGGCCTGGTTGCTAATCCTGCCATGACAAAATTAAATTAAATCTACACTCGACTTGTATGCACTTCACCCCGGTATTTTTGGTCAGAGAGATGAACCATGCTTTGCTCTTGCCATCCTCCTTCCAAGCTCACCTCAGGGACGAGCTGACTAAAAGCAGTGTCTGTGAGACCATCCCACTTGGGTAGCTGCATGCTGAGTAAGTGAGTAGTCAGAAGCATTTGCCATTCTTTCCAAGCACAGTTCTTGATACAGATGCCAATCATGAAGGACCTTGCACGTGCACGTGCAGTGTGTTACTCCCAGACCATGAACCAAAAAGTAAACAACTTATCGATTTTGCCACCAAGAGGGAAGTACCCATAAAGCAGGAGAAGTAGGAGTAGAGAGTGAATGGTGGCGTGTGGCTTCAACCTTGCCCATCCTGACCACCTACACCACCCTGGGGTAGGAGGCTGAGCACCGAGAAGGGAGCAGAAAGTGCGAGACATTCGAGGCCAAGAGTGATAAAAAGCAAGGGCCGGATCTGCTGGCTCTCTGGGGAGAATCGAGGGCCAAAGGAAGTAAGATTGCTTCTCAGACCCAGTGTGCGTGTAGTACCGCAGCTCCAAACAACATGAAAGCCAGATAGTGAAGTAATCTGTCTCTGGGGTCTCTCTCCCTTTGGCTTTGAGGCAGAGAAAGGGTGGGTTGCAAAGGTCTGAGAAATCAGACGAATACTTGATTGAGGTAAAATAGGAGGGAAGGATCAGCATTTCTTACATGAGCCACCACTGAAGGCATATAGATCTTTCCATCCAAGCACGGACTGTCACCAGCGCTGGCAACTATGCCTCGCACCTGTTTATGGCTAAGAGAGCTAAACACCGAGAAGTTAATAGGCAAGTGAAATGCTACAACCCAGAAGGAAGATATTCTTGGATTGTACTCTCTTCAGTTCCTTAATCGCTTAGAATTCTGTATTTTCATTTCCCTGAACTTGATTGGTTGGAATTCTGTATCTAAGTCCCACTCAACTTAGTCACTGGAAATGAGGAATTTGCCTATTAGTAGAAAATTTACATTTATCATAAAAATGGAACATCGTGTCCTTGGTTGGGTTATTCCTCCACAAAGCGAGCTTCCCCGCTCTCCCTCCCGCCCCCCCCCCCCCGCCCACCTCCAGCCAGTTCCCCTGTGTATTTGGAAAACAGTAAGGATGCTATACAGTGAGTAATTCTGGGTATGACAGGGGTGAGGGGTGGAGAACAGGAGGGTGTTAGTGCTCAGAATTCAGTAAAATGCAAACTCTTGAAGGGGGCACACATTGCTCCTTTCATTTTCCCCAGCTCGAGTCCAGGAAGGTAAGAAAACATCACCAAAAGACCAGGTCAGAATAAGCTTTCCAAGTTACTAGACAAGAAGGCCTCAGACATCAAGAGACAAAAGATCAAACAGTGCAGACATGTGCCTGTCAATCTTGCTTATTCTGGGGACGGTGGGATGTGGTTCCCAAAGCACATTTTTATTTTATCTCCAGGTCAATTAAAAAAAAAAAACAAAACTGGAGGAGCAAATGATCACAGTAACATAATTTCTAAAGCAATGGGGAATAGTTACATGTGAAGTTAAGAATTTGGTTGTTGATGATGTTAAAAACAGGCATTTTTACTTTATACGTACTCTTCTCAAAACATAGATTTAAACCGTGGTTGTTTCATAAATTGCTAGAATCTATCCATAATGGAACTTGCTAGGATGAAGAATTTTGTGAGGCTTATGACATCGAAGGGAGTTTCTTAGCAAAATGTGAGAAGAACTGTTTCAACTGTAATGTGGTCCTAAAACACGGATGTTGTATAGGATTTTCTGTGTTCAGACATATGTATTATCTTTAATGCTATCTCCACCTATAAGATTAAAGTTCACGTCTCCGGAAAAGTGAGTGAGTGCTCCGGGTTTTGGCAGAGTTCCCACATGAAATCTATTTCTCTGGAATATTTTTAGGCTGTTGACTAATGTAGCACATCCAACATGGTAGGATAGCTCAATCGTGTGAATGGCTTGGCTGAGTGCTTTGGGAGTTACTCACACATTTTTTAATGTGATAATAGGGCCAGAGGAGGTTACTTTGCCCTGTGGACATTGACATTGTCAGGATGGCTGTGGTGGGCTACAATAAAAATTTGAGCACTGTTTGGAAAAAAAACAATTTGTTTTAATCAACGCAATTTTTTTTTGGAAAATACTATGCACTCGGCACTTCTCTGGAATGAGAGTGGGGTTGGAGGTAACCAAAGAAATGGAAAGGACAGAGACCTTGTTCTCAATGATTAAATCTACTTGGGGACATAGGACAAGTTCAGAACACAGTTCTGAACAGCATTCAATAATCAGAACAGCTACGGTTGTTGGGCACTCACTGTGTGCACAGTGTTGACTTGAGGACCTCACGTGAATCATCTCATTTGCTTCTCGTGGCAAATTTGTTTTTTTTTTTTTAAAGATTTTATTTATTCATAGAGACAGAGGGAGAGAGGGGCAGAGACACAGGCAGAGGGAGAAGCAGGCTCCATACAGGAAGCCTGACGTGGGACTTGATCCCGGGTCTCCAGGATCACACCCCAGGCTGCAGGCGGTGCTAAACCGCTGCGCCACTAGGGCTGCCCTCGTGGCAAATTGGTAAGTCATTATCATCCCCATTTTGTATGTGGGACTTAGATGTTTGGTAGCCTGCCAGAGGCCTCTCAAGTAGCAAGTGCCGTAACTGGGATCCCAGGGCACCTCCGCCTGTGCTGGAAACACCCTGCTGCACGCCTCTGTGTGAACGATAACTCATTGACAAATATGAACCATTAGGGCAATGAGCAAAAGCAGTATTGGAAGGGAAGGCCGAATGCAGGGTCAAGTGGAGGGCTCTGGAAAGGCGAGACCTCGAGCTTAGGGAGGATCTGGATAGGCCGAGGGGAATTGGAGAAGATTCCAGGTGGGAAGGGGACCATAAGCTACAGCAGAGACATATTGTCATGCGAATCAGATGTTAAATGAGGGTCGCCCTTGTAAGAAGTGCTTTCATGTCTGTCATCCTGTGGTTTTGGGGGTATTCCCATAAGGTCACTAGGGCAGATGTTCTTATTCCCATTACCTAGAGGACAGGACTGAGGCTCAGAGTAAAACACTTTGCTCATAAATAGTGGAATCTTGAGTAAACCCATGGCTCCTGTCCAAGGACCTTTCCCAATCTACCACGTCGGGCCAGATAATTCAAGGACCACCAAGAGACCTTATCTGGCGGCAAGGCACTTTTGGAAAGTATTTTAGTGAGATGGTGAATCCATTACTTGTAGCAGTAACACAGGCATTTGATAAAATCTCTTTTTATAAGTTGGGTTTTTAGATTGTCAATATATAAATTTGAAACATGTCTTTTTCAGGTGTTCAGTCTCATTCATTTATTCATTCGATAAATATTTATTGAGCTCCAATTACATGCCAGGCCCTGGCCCTGTTCTAGTTCCTTCTGACATGCTCAGTTCAGTTATACAGCTTTCAACAGGCAAAGCACAGGGTATAGTAACCATGCCAGTTGAGCAAGGTTGAGGTGTCTGAATCTCTAAATCTTTCTCAGTGGCTTTATTGATGCCAGCTGCCACCACCGTGGTCCCCAGAGTCTCCTCAAAGATGACACACTCCAGTAATCTCTACCCACTTTTCCAGGCTAGGGAGTTAGCCTCTCACGACAATGTAGGTCTCCTTCCTGGAGAAATGGGCAGGTGCGTGTGTTAAATGGCGGTCCTCTTCCCCTGGAGTCAGGTGGCCTGGGTCCCACCTGGCTCCTGTTTCTTCCCAAGAGGGAGGAGGTGCCCCGATGTTCCACCTCACCTGTGGCTGAAGTTCCATGAGTGAGAAGCAACCTCGAATAAATTAAAGGTCCAAGCCGGTCCTCAGTGTTTCTTGAGGTTAGAAACACAGCCAGTAATGGTAGGTGTCATTTGGGGAGAGCTTGCTGCATGGCAGGCACTGTGCTAAGAACTTTGCACGTTACCCCAGGGCACCGTGCAGCACACTCCACCTCTGCATGGCTTTTAGGGTGCCCTCGTCGCCGTGTAAAAACTTCTGGTCTGAATGGTTTCTGAGGTTTCCTACAGCACTGAAAGTAGACCTGCTTATCCTGTAGGTCCACAAATGGCTTCAAAAAAAATTGCAAGCAAAGTCAAAGTTGAGAGAGCCTCCTGAGGCTGTTGAACGCTGATGGCTTCCTTGAACATAAGCGCATGTGTAAATTGCTTCTGTAACCGTAGATGCAGACTCAGACATCCTCAGATACCGCACTCTGCCTAAAGTTCGGGAGCTGTTGGCAGTTAGACCTGTCGCATACTCACATACTCGGATTAATCATTTAGCTAATATCACAACTACGCCGTGAGGCAGGGTGTTATATCTGTTATACAGACAGGAAGGAAGCTTAGCTCGGAGGTGAAAGTGATTTGCACAAGGTCACACTGTAATTAGTCGTTGAGCATGCTTTAAAATCAG